ATATAGAAACCAACTTTCTCAAGGAGTCTATCAATGTATTTTTTTTTTTTTTTTGAGACAAGTTCTCTTCATGCAGTTCGGGCTGGCCTTGAGCTCACTCTGTAGCCCAGGGTAGCCTCAAACTCATGGCAATCCTCCTGCCTGAGACTCCTGAGTGCTGGGACTACAGGTGTGGGTCACCACACCTGGCTGTCAAGGGACCTGTCAGAAAGAAGAATGTCTTTCATCTTCTATCCATCCAAAAATGCCTCTAGACACTGCCAAATGTCCCGCTGGGGGGCTGAATGGCCCCCAGCTGAGAGAGACTGGCTTCTGAGACACTCAGATAGTCAATCACCTATCCTTATTCAGGCCTCCCGGGGGAGCTGGGCTTACACTTTGTCTTAAAGGCTCAGGAAGAGGTGGAAGAGGAAGTTGCAGGAATGGCAGTGAGGGACAAGGCTCAGGTGAGGCCCCTGGCAACCAAGGGCTTCAGGGTGGCTCGGTCACGCGGCCTGGGGTGGCTGAGTGGTAGCAGAGAGGTAATCGCCTGGAGCGGACCCGTTCTCTATTTGCTTAACATGTTGCCAGGCCTGTTCCGTTACTGCAGGGAACCCCAGCCCTGGACCGTGGATAGGTACCATGTTAGGAACCGGGCCTTAGGAACAGCAGAAGGTGAGGGAGAGAAGCTGCACCAGTATTTACAGCTTGATAAGGCACCTGAATAGCCCCAAATGACCCCCTCCCCAGCCCTCACTGTGAGAAAACTGTCTCCTCTGAAACCAGGCCCTGGTGCCCAAAAAGCTGAAGACCCCGTTCTACAAGTCAGACAGTAACGCCTGGCTTCCGGCACCCGTCAGGGGCCAGGACTGTGCTGCGGAGTGCTGCGGGGTGTACTTGTGTGCCTGTTGTCAGCCTGCTGGGAGAGCAACACAGGTCTTGGGTGGCACTAGCCTCCCGGCGGGTGTGAAGGGCTGTGGTCCCGGCACAGGGTTAAGGCCTATGATCTAAGTGTGGCCTCTTACTGGTGGAAAGGCCTTGGACGGCAGGTGTGACCAGGGGAGGGGCAGGAGGAGGTGGAGAAGGGAGCCAGTGATACGTGACACTCCCGGCCTGTACACCCGGCACCATGCTAAGTGGCACCCGAACTGCTTCTCTGACACAAATGCAATCTTCCTGGCCTCAAAGGAGGCTAGGGATCACAGCACTCCATCTCGAGCCCTCAGCGTGGTCTTCAGAAGGAAGAGCTCAATTCCCTCCAGCCCAAGGGTAGGCTAAATGTCACGCTCTGCTTCCGAAGGACAGAACAGAAAAAGTGACCTGGAAGGCAGTACCATACCCAGGCCGAGTGAGGCTGACATCACCAGCGATGCTGTGTGGAGAGCCTGTACCCACCACGGTGGGATGAGGAGGTGTGAAAGCCCAGCACCCCTGTCTGATGCGGAGGAACACCAGACAAACCCGACTGGAGGCTGTGGTGCCAGATCACTGGCCAGTGCAAACCATCACAGTCAAGAACAGGAGGAAAGGATGGAGAGATCCTTGCAGACCAGGGGAACTACTAAAGATAACACAGATCCTGAACTGGATCGAACAAGAAGCAAACAAATAAGCAAAACATACGAAACCTAAGCACAGCCCGAAGGTTGGTAACAGCATCGAATGAATGTTGTCGCTTAAGCTGAGACTGATGTACCAGAGTTGTGGAAGATATTAACCCATGAGCAGAGATTTAAATAGCACGTTTTGACTAATCAGTGGATCCCAGAAGAAACCAGGCGAGAAATAAAAAACTCCCTAGAATGAAATGACAACGGGAGTCCAACATGCCAAATCCTACCAGCCACAGGGAAAGCAGTTCTAGGAAGGAAGGTTACAGCTGTAGGCACCCATGGAGAGAACAGAGGTATCGAAGATAAATAAAGCAGTGGTGCACCTCAAGGTCCTAGAAAGACAGGAACAACCCAAATCTGAAACTAATAGGAGGAAAGAGATGATAGAGATCAGGGTGGAAATTAATGCAATTGAGACAAAAAACAAAATAGGATTAATGAATCAGAGTTGGCTCTTTGGAAGGATGGGAAGGGGATCTGGGGACAGGGGAAGGAGAAGTAAAAGGATTAGGATACTAGTTTCCAGCCAGGTGTGGGGGACCCATGCCTGTAATCCCAGCACTGAGGAGGCTGAGGCAGGAGGATTGCCTTGAGTTTGGGGCCAGCCTGGACAACACAGCAAGACCCTGTCTCCAAGAAGGAAAAAAAAATCATCGGGCCTCAGTAGTTTCCTTATCCCAAAGGCCAGAATTATGGGACAGAGTTGCCTGTTTTAGAGCACGTGCCTGCGGGGTCTGGTGACTGCTCAGCAGAGGAATGCCACCCACTGCTCTTATTATTTGAACGAAGACTTCCAGGATTCTGAGGAACATTCCAGAAGCAAGAGCCACTGGAACCCTGTCTATCAGGAACCTTGTGTCTGTGAGGCTGTGGTGACTGGGGGAGACTGAGACCCGCCACCCCCGGGCTGCCTTGCCTGTTGCTGGATAAACCCAAGAGCCTGCAGTAAATATGTGCGGAGGCTGCAGTCCTGCCATTGTTACCTGCAAACTGTGCTCCAGTGAGACCTGGTGCACACATTCTAGTGCCTGAGTCCAGAACATTAGTTCTCAGCCCTGTACAATTTTTAAAAATAATTCTTAGCTTGCAGGCCATACCCAAAACCAAGTAAAAAGCAAATTAATGGGCTGGATTTGACCCTAAGTGCTCCTGAGAGTGTTGCATTAAAAATGTTTAAAGGAGCTGATGTGGTGGCGCATGCCTTGATGCCAGTGCTTGGGAGGCTGGGGCAGGAGGACTTCCATGAGTTTGAGGGCAGCCTGGGTTACATAGTGAGAATCTGGCTTAACAAAAAAAGTTTAAGAGGCCAGGGATGTAGCTCAGTGGTTCCACCACCTGCCTCGCAAGCATAAGGTCTGAGTTCGATCCCTGGTACAAAAAAAAAAAAAAGTTTTAGGGAATTGCAGATGCCTGGACTGAAAACCAGAGCCTGGGTCAGAAGGGTCCCAATTAGGGATGACAGAGATGCCATTCGACACCCAGTGCATTCTGTGCACTGTGATTCAGTGCTCAGGATCCAGCCCAGGACCAGGACTCCCCAGCCCCAGGTGGCAGCAGAGCAGAGGTGGAAGCCTGCCGTGTGTAGCTGCAAACTCCTAGCAAACTCAAGCGCTGTACAGCTCACTGGGGGACTTGCAAAATGCAAATTCGTGTGCGTGTGTGTGTGTGTGTGTGTGTGTGTGCGTGTGTGTGTGTGCACACGCCCAGGGAGTGCTAAACTACATCCTCAGCCCTTTTCATTTTGAGGCTGAGTCTCACTAAGTTGTCCAGGCTTGTCTTGAACTCTTGATCCTCCTGCCTCAGCCCCCTGAGAGTGCTGGGATTATTTGGACACATCTAGGGCGAGACCTGGATTGGCCACTTCTACATCTCTAAATCTCTGGGTAACTGTGAGGCTGCAGGTTTGTGGACCATCTGGGCACAGGAAGATGGGGCTTAAAGAACTCTGGCTGTTTTCAAACAGCAGGGAGAGGAATGAAAATACACTGGTAAGTGAGGAGCCAGGAGCAAGGGCAAGAAGCAAGGGTTTCGCTCAGCCTGGCGCTGTTGGAGCGAGACACTCAGGGGCAGGCTCGGGGACGGGCTCTGTGCCAGCAGCCGTGGGTCCAGGTTTCCAGTTCCCCCTTCCACCTGCCGCTGAAATCTGAAGCCCAGGACAGACCCAGTACGTAAGCCCCAGCCCCGCAGAAGAGAAAGGGATGCCAGTCAGAACCGGAAGCTGCCTGTTGCTCAACTCATGGACCTCGAAGGACCTCGCAAGGCAACGCTACACATTTCGACAGCAGCCTGAGTGCCCACACAGTCACCGAGGGTAGAGACGCTGCTCTCTCTGCACCGACATCTAAGCCACCTTGGGCAAGGTGCTTTCTCACCAGCCCATCGGGTCTCACTGGGGCAATTCATCCCCTGGTGGGGACATCTGGCAATGTCTTGAAACTGTTTTTTGGCAGTACTGAGCCTTGAACCCAGGGCCTTGGGCATGCTAGGCAAGCACTCTGCCACTGAGCTACATCCCCAGCCATTTTACTCTGATTTTATTTGATTTGTGACAAGGTCTAGCTAAATTTCACCAGCTGGCCCCAAACTTGTAATCTTCCTACCTCAGCCTCCCAAGTAGCTGGGATGACAGGTGTGCACCACCACACCCGGCTTCTTAGTCCAGTTTTCTGAGCAGAGACCCTGGTTCCCCTACCCCACAACCTCAGCGAGCCTGGGGGCAGGAATCTGCTTGTTAACCATGAATTCGCCTCCCTCCCCAGGCTTTAGGAGGTGACCTCATTTGGAAATGAGATCACATCGGGGTAGGGTGGGCCCCTAATCCAACATGACCGGGTCCCCCCAGGGATAAAAGTTGAGATGTAAGGAGGCATCGCCAGGGCCGAGACCACCCAAATGTCTCTGTCCATGGTGACCTATCCCTGCTTCCCTCGAGGGCCCGAGAGAGCCACCCACATGGGGAAGAAGGAAATACAGTGGACCCTTGAGTTACGAGCAGCCTGACATATGAACAACTTGGGTTACGACCAGAATTTAAGTTTTAACTTAGAAAGCCTTGAGTTACAACCCCAATGCTGGCTGCTTGTGCTTCCAGATGGTCTCAGATACAGATTTAACCCATAAAGAGTTCTGGAAGGAACACTGCAGCATCCTTACCTGTGTGGGTTAACCGAGAAATCTTGGACCAGTGTCTCTCTAAGGACACTGAGATCCGCCTGTGTACAGGAGAGAGACTTTGAAGGCTGTGTAGAGGAGCCTGAGCCTTCATGACTGACTTGAGTTACAACCAGCCCTCGGGAACCAATTGAATTTGTAAGTCAAGGGTCCACCGTACATGGAACAAGGATTCGCAAAGGAGGCTGAGGCAGGAAGGAAGAGGGAGGGGTGGATGGATCGGGGTGCGGGACTCACCGGGGCTCAGGAGCGGCCTGCTACACAGCGGGCAGCTGGAGTGGCCCGTGGAGGTCCCCCGCACCAGCCGGTGCCCGCTGACACACTCCCACCTCTCCCTGCTGTCCCGAGCCTTCAGCTGCACTGCGCTCTTCCCCTGCACGGACGGGCTGGGTGTCAGGGCACCTTCCGCCCTTCCCTGGCCTGTGCGCCTGCCCCGGCCCCGCTGGGGGTGGAAGTGGGGCGTGTCCCCTCCCCGCCTGCCCCTGACCTTCTCCTTCTGCCTGGTGACCCGGCTGCGGAGGGAGCTCAGACGTCGCTTCACCCTGGTGCTCTTGACGCTCTTCTCGCTCTTGACCGCCCCGTCCTCGCTCCTAGAGGGCAGGAAGGGCTGGTGGGGACGCGGCGGCAAGGCTGGAGGTCTCTCCGGGATCCGCCTGGCCTCTCTGGCCTTCTCATCCTGCCTCACCCTTCCTGTGGCCCCTGATTCCCTTCTGGCCTCCCTCCCTCACAGGTGCACTCAACAATCATTCAGAGATGTCTGCAAAGTCCCGAGAGCTAAGGGGCCTGGCTTTGCAGGAGTCCAGGAAACATGATTTCAAGCTCGAGGTTCCCAAGCGAGCTGGAGATCTCAGCTCTGTCCACCTCTGACCTCAGCCTGTAAGAGGCACTCTCCACCCCCAGGCCCAGGTCTAATCTGCCTTTAAGTCCCGCCCATTTATATATCCGGCCCCTCCTACCAGTGCCCCCTGTTCCCTCTCCCCCATCCCACGGACTCATTTAATAAAAATGTATAGACTTGGGGCCGGGGATTTAGCTCAGTGGTTCTGCCGCCTGCCTCGCAAGCGCAAGGACCTGAGCTCGATCCCCGGTACCAAAAAGAAAAGAAAAAAAAGAAAAGAAAATTTATAGAATCAGGGAGGGACAAACAAGCCAGCTCTGGCAGAATCTCTTCCTTTCTCCAGTGTACGGAGCTCCTGGACGGTTGCTAATACCCACAAATGTTTGTTGAATGAGTAACTGAGGGAGGGAAGGAGTCACAGAACTCCGCCCCATCTGCGGCCCCAGCCTCCGCCCCTAGACCTGATCATGCCCAAGTCCCCGTGGCACTGAGGATAGAGTCTGTGCTGGGGACCCGGCGACAGTGCCGCTGTACTCACTCCGACAGGAACTCGAACCACGTGAGGCTGGCGTGGGAAGTGTAGGAGATCCTGACTCCCGGGCTTCTTGTGGCCCACGAGGAGTCCGGGACTCCACTCCCGAACTCTGAGCCACGTGAGGCTGGCGTGGGGCACTCCGGGGCTAGCGGCCAGGCGAGCCCTCTGCCGCGCCCTGCAGGGTCGGAGGGGACAGACGCGCGGGTCGGAGGCTGGCAATCGCGGTCCGCGTCTGGGACCCTCCCCCGCCCGCCCGCCAGGACCCTGCGCGGGACCCTGCGACAGGTTCCCGCAGAGGGCAGGCAGGGCTGCCCGTGGGGACACGCCCAGCAGGGGCGGCTTTCGGGAGACAGGCTTCTCCCGCTTGCTCGCTCGGCTTCTGCTCATAGCCGGCCCATCCGTGCCCACATCCGTTCCCCGAGCTGGCATCTCGGCGCCTCTCCCTGGCCCTGCCTCCACGGGCTTCCTCCCACACTCCTGTTTCCGATGCCCATTCCCGCCTCGCCTGTCTCCACACCGGTCCCCTGTTTATTTTTGTTGTATTTATCAGTACACGTGTGTCGTGCAGGATGCTGAGATTCCTTGTGCGGCGTGGGCACAGGTACACAGCATACCCCAGTTCCTTCTTTTCCTCAGCTCTTCTCTCCCTCCCTCCACCTCTTTGCCCCTTCCCCTTTGAGAACCAGCTATGCTCCTGCTTTCTGTGGTCTATCTTATTTTGCTCTTTATTTTTACTGTGGGTTTCTCATATAAGAGAAGCCATGTGATATTTAAGCCTTTGCGTCTGATTTACTTCACAGAACACTATGGTCCCAAGGTGCATCCGTCTGCCTACAAATGACTCAGGCTCATCCTTCTCTATGGCGGGCAGTCCTCTGGGGTGCAAACACCGTACTGTCTTCATCCATTCGTCTGTAGGTGGACATCGGGGCCACTCCCACGATTTAGCTGTTGTGAGCTGTGCTTCTGCAAACCTGGGTGTGCCCGGGTCACTGTGATACGATGACTTTAACTAAGGGGACCTAGAAGGGGACCAGCTGGCCCAAGTGGCGTTTCGTTTCCCTGTCCTCCTACCCTGCCTCCCCTCCCTCCTGTTCCCCACTCCTGTTCCTACACCGCTCCCGAACCCGCCTCCACACCCGTCCCTCGCTGTCCCTCTACACCTGCTCTCTCCATCTGCCCTGGGCCTCGCCCGCACCAGTCCCGGCCCCTTACCCGTGGTACTGGCGAAGTTCCTGAAGCACCTGCTGAACCATCAGCCTGCGGGAGGGGTGGGGCCAGACAGCCCGAGGTGGCCGGGTCACAGACCCATTCCCTGGGTCCTGCGCAGGCTCAGGAGGCCCCCATCCCGGGCCCCTCTCCGTGAGCGATGCTCCTCCCGCAGCCCAGCCCTGCGTCACCCCGCCCAGGAGGACACTCACACGTGCTCGGGCTCCACATGGTCCTTTTCTAGGCTCTCCAGCTCCTGGGGTTTGAGGCCTGGAAGCAGCCCCAGAGCAGGGGGATGGGTGTGAGGCTCCAGCCTGGCCCCCATCCTTCCCGGCCCCCTGCAGGAGTGGACACTTCCCAGGCAGGACCCGTCGATCTTGGGGAGAGGACAGAGAGCCGGGACATCACGGCACCTGACTCTCCCAATGGCCCTAAGAGATCTTCTTATTACGTCTTTTAAAAGCATTAATTAATTTACAGTAGTGAGGATTGAACCCAGGGCACCCAAGCCCTGAGCTACGTCCCAGCCCTTCTTACTTTTTATGTTGAGACAAGATCTTGCTAAATGGCCCAGGCTGGCCTAGAATTTGTTATTCTCCTGCCTCAGACTCCCAAGTAGCCTGGGGTAGAGCCATGCACGACTGTGTCTAGCAATTATGTCTTGTTTGTTTTGTTTTTTCAAGACAGGGTCTTGCTATGTTATTTAGGCGGGACTTGAACTCACTATGTGGCCCTGACCGGCCTCGAACTCGTGGCAATCCTCCTGCCTCAGACTCCCAAGTGGAGTGCTGGGATGACAGGCCTAGCCACTACAGCTGGCTGTTGTACCTTCTAACAGAGGGAGCCAGAGGGGCTCCAAGAGCTGCCAGAAAGTGGCCTGCTTGGGTTTACACAGCATGTCTGACTAACAGTGGAGAGGTGCAAGCCCCTAGGATGGAGAATCAGAGATAAAGAGGGAGATAAAAAGAGAAGCAGGACCGGGGATTTAGCTCAGTGGCACTGCGCCTGCCTCATAAGCATTTGGTTCTGAGTTCGATCTCCAGTACAAAAAGAGAGAGAGAGAGAGAGAGAGAGAAGCAGAGTGCATGCCTGTCATCTCGGCATGCTGGGAGGCCGAGGCAGGAGGATTGCAAAGACCTTGTCTCAAAATTTAAAAATAAATAAATTAATTAAAAGGGCTGGGGATTTAGCTCAGTATAAAGACCCTAGATTTAATCTCCAGTATGAGGGGAAAATAAAAATTAGAAAAGGAGAGACAGAGGCAGAGTCCTGGGATGGGCAGATGCTAGTGGCTCCACCTCCTCCCTGGACCTGCAGGACAGGCATTTTGCCCGGTTCTGTCCGGAGAAATCTACCCTGGTCCTCCTGCCCCGTCCCCTCCTGAGGCCCAGCTGGGACTCAGCCATGGGACCCTCTAGCAGGAGCCCTCCCATCTGCTCCACGAACGGCTCGCAGGCAGGCTGGGTTACCTCGTGCAGGTGCCGCTTCTGAGCTCAGCGTGAGGTCCAGGGAGGCGGTCTCCTCGAAGGCCAGGGGCACCGACCTTGACCTTGCTCTCTTCTCGAGGCTAGCACAGTCCTGCGGGGCCGGGCCAGGTGGAAGCATCTCATGAGCCTGGGGGACGGCCGAGTGCGGGCAGAGGCTCCCCACCACACATGGCCAGGGCCACCGCCATAGAACCTGGGGCCACACTTCCCTGAGCCCCAGCCACGGCCCTGGTGACAGCCACACTGACCGAAGCATGGTCTGTGAGCTGAAGTTTCAGGCTCAGAGCCGCAAGAACACGTGTTTCCCTGTGGGTCATGTTCTCGGGCAAAGACCCTCAGGGCACAGGCCACAGCCCCAGTGTGTGCCCTGAAGCTGCACTGCAGTCTCAGGTCTGAGACAGACCCTCCTGGCTGCGGAGGCAACCACAGACAGAGCTTTCTTTCCTCTGCGGCCAGCAGCCACAGCAAGGACCCCCCGAGCTGGAACAGAGCTGCAGGGTGAGGAGACCTCTCCCCATGGTTAGGATTAGATGCGGTGATCAGGGTGGGTCCCCCATGGTTGGACCTGGGTGGCTTTATAAGAAGAGATGGAGGGAGGCCAGGGGACATAGTCTCTTGCCTCGAATGTCCGGCACCGCCCTGGGGCTCTGCCAGCACGAAGCTGCCAATCTCCAGATGCAGGGCCTGCACCTTGGACCTCAAGTCATGTGCTGTAGCAAACCTCTAGGTGACATAGTCACTCTGCAACAGTGTCATGTGGCGCAGAAAATAGACCGAATTGCAGACCGAAACCCAGGGCCCGGAGATGCCTGGCCATGGACGCCTCCCTCCCTCTTCCCCAGCACGATCGAGTCCTTCGAGTTGGTGGTGCTTCCTCCCACCCAGAGCGCTGGCTTCTGGAGGCAGCTTGTGCCACTGTCAGGGTGTGTCCAGGCAGTACTCACCTTGCCAGGGTGCTCGGCTGCAGTCCCGCCTCCAGACAGACAGCCTTGGGTCCAAGTCTTCAACCCTTCCCCGGACAGGTTGAGAGCCAGACTAGCCAGTGTCCGGGGGAGGCAGGGGCTCTCCTCCACAGGCAGGGGGTCAAAGCTGAGCCTGCAGCGGGGACAGAGGCTGTGGAAGCTTCCATGGGCGCTGCTTGCCTGGCATCGGGGCCCCCCAGGTTAGGGAGGCGTCTGTACCTCCCCGCTATCAGTGGGCCCTGCGTCAGCATAGAGGGGAGAGGGAAAAGCCGAGTGACATTTGCCAAAGCTACATCTGTTTTGCAGACCCAACCCTTTGGCACAGATTCCTATTTGGGGTGACTTGGGAGGGGCTGAGGGAAACGGGGCAGGAGGAGGTGGCTAAATGCCCTCCTTCACTGCTGGATGCCAGCACTGTGGGGTGCATGGAGCCAGGCACATGTGTGGGTTTTGATGGAAAGCGTATCTGTGACTTTTTGCAAATTTGAACAAGTAGCGTGTGAGCTGGGTGTGTCTGTCATCCCAGCACTCTGAGAGGCTCAGGCAGGAGAATTTCAAGTTTAAGCCCAGCCTAAGCAACTTAGTGACTTAGTGAGACTGTCTCAAAATTAAAATTAAAAATAAAAAGGGCTGGGGATGGAGCTCAGTGTGAAGGCCCTGGGGTTCAATCCCCAGCACTGCAAAAAACCAAAACCACAACCCATCCCACTAGCAGGCTTAGGGACGACACAAGTCTCATGGCGAGTGTGCAAATCTGTGGGTGAGTGTGAGCATGGCTATGTACAGCCAGCGCTCACAGGCAAGTGTGCAGATTTTGGTCTGTTTGTCTTCAGTGTATACCTGCAGTTTCCAGTTTGGGCTTGTGCATGTACAATGGATCTGTGTACATGTGGATCTGTGCACACATGAGGCTCTGTTTGTGGATGCACACGTGTACATGTGTCCACACACGTGTTTATGTATGCATACGTTTGCACAGTGTTTGACTGCATGTGTCCGTGTGCACACACACAAGCTCGTGCAACCATGTGAGCGTGCAAGCACATTTGAGGTTCCTCTGACAGCGCAGGCCCCTGGTGGCCCTGGAGCTGGACAACACACATGCAAGCCTGAAGCGTGTCGCAGAACTCGCTCTGTCCTTGGAAACTGCTGTCCTGTGGGTGCTTCTCGAGAGGTACAAAGGGAGGGCCCGGCCTGACCTCTGCCAGTCCTCTGAGCAGCTCCGTGACCTCTCCCAGCTGCGTCTCCGAACCAGAGTCTGGGCCCCTGCGGAGCTCGAGAAGGGCGAGTCCCTCTCAGCTTCTGTCTTCAAGGGGCTGCTGCCGGAGGCCCCACCGGCCGGGCTGGGGGAAGGGGCTGCTAGGCCGAGGTCCTGGAGATACTCGCTGCCCTGCAGGGCCCCTAAATCCAGGCTGAGGTCCTCCGTGCTCTCACTGAGCTGCTCTGCAAAATCATCTTCCTGCAGGCGGCGGGAGGAGAAGGCATTGGGTGGAGAAGGCATTGGGTGGGACTGAGGGCCTTCCCACCAGTGCTTGATCCCCCAGAGGGCCTGGAAGTCTGAGTTTTGCTGCCTCATTCCTTAGCTGGCACAGCACAGCACCTCGCTGAGCTTCCTTTTTTTTTAAAACAGGGTCTCTGTAGCCCAGGCTGGCCTCGGACTCGCTATAATGCTCTTGCCTCAGCCTCCCCAGTGCTGGGGTTACAGGTGTGCGCCATGATGTCCAGCTTAAAGCAACATTTTTTAAAATGTAAAAATAATGCAAGGTGATCCACAATGAATAAATTATCCAAATTTTAAATAATGAGCACAGCTTGAGTATCCCTTACCCAAAGTGCTTGGGATCAGGAGTGTTTTGGATTTGGGGTTTTTTTTTTTTCATATTTTGGAATATTTGCCGATATATGATGAGATATTATGGGGATGGGAGTCAAGTCTAAACATACAATGCGTTTGTTTCATACTCATCGTATACACATAACCTGAAGGTCAGTTTATGACACCTGCATTGTTTTCTTTTCTTGGTAGCGGGCACGGAGCCCAGGGCCTTCGCACTGAGCTATAGCCCCAGCTATTTTTAAATTTCTTATTTTGATACAGGGTCTTGCTAAGTTGCTAAGGCACCCAGGCTAGGCTGGAACTTATGACTCTCCTGCCTCAGCCTCCCCGAGTGTGGGGATCACAGACGTGTGGCACCACACCTGGTTGCCGCTGTGGCTTTTAACCAGCAGGAGGCAGAGGGCAGTGTTTAGCCCTGCTTGGGGGTAGGTAGGGCACTTCCCTCACATTAACCTCTCTAAACATATGGCCTCACCCTCCTTTTCATTTTTACTGTGGTAAAATATATACAACATAAAATTTACCATCTAACTCTTTTTTTTTTTTTTCCCCAGCACTGGGGATTGAACCCAGGGCCTTTGCACTGAGCTACAGTGCCAGCCCTTTTCTATTTCTTTCATTGTGAGACAGGGTCTTGTTAAGTTGCCCAGGTTGGGCTCAAACTCATGGAGATCCTCCTGCCTCAGCCTCCTGAGTGCTGAGATCACAGGCCTGCGCCACCACACCCAGCTGACCCTTGTTTCTGCCCTCATTTCCCTGCTATTTCCATGGTTGCTCCTTTCGTGCCTCCTCTTCCTCTCTTTGTCCTTTAAGTGCCTGCTTCTTTGGTCTCTTTCTAAATATCCAGAGCTCAGGGCTCCTGTTAGCAGAGGCGCTTTGGCCTCCGGGGCTTCCGGACAGCCTGCTTTCTGGTCTCACCTTCTTCCACATCCCCCATTCCTGTCCTCTGGGCCTGGACAGCCTCCTCCTGACTCCTGTCTCTTTCCCCCCCCCACCCCGCAGTGAGGTCTCCTTGGTGTGTCTGCTTTTCATCTTCCAGTAAATATAAACGGGTTGGGACAGCCTCGGGGCCTGTGACTCCCTCCCTCCCTGGGCTCCCTCCTGGGAAGCAGTGGGCACTGGGCCAGTGCTGGGGAGGAGGTGCAGCCAGCACAGGCTGTCCCAGCTCCCTGCCAGCAGGTGCTCGAAGGCGGGAAAGGGGCCTCTCCGTTTGCTTGAAAGCTTGAGTCTATCTTGGACCTCACTTCCCGGGCGAGGGAAGAGGGGAACCCGGCACGGGGGCGCTGGGCAGACACTGCACCTGCTTCCACCCGGCAGAGGGTGAGCTCCCCTAGGCCAAAGCCAGAGGCCAAACCTCCCAGGATGCCCCAGTTTTCGGAAGTGCTCCCCGCTTGCATGTTCAGATACTACACAGATGGACTTCTAGTTTTCAAAAGTCTACACCAGTATTCATCTTGTCCCCTGGAAAAAGGTCACACAGCAAAGCTACCAAGCAAGCGTGTTGCCTCCTCAGTCTCATGTTGCCCGGTAAAAAACCGACTTCAGAAAACATGGTAAATAAATCCAGACTGACGCCCCTAACCCCAAAACCTGATATCTGAATGCTCCAAAGATGTTTTGAGCCCTGCCATGGCGACATGCAAGTGGAAAATTCCACACCTGATCTCGTGACAGGTCCCAGTCAAAATGCTGAGGCTCTAAAAATAGTGCCTAAAATGACCTTCAGGCTGTGTGTGTGAGGTGCGCATGAAACACACATGAACTTTGTGGGGTATTTTTAGTCCTTTTGTTCTTTCCCACTCCTCCTTCCCCTATTCCTCCATCCCTAGAACCCTTTCTCCTCAGCAAAAGGTCTACCTACTTGCTTTGTATCATCGAGCTTTTATTTTGCTCTTTGTTTATACTTTGGATTTCTCATGAAAGAGAAGCCATGTGATATTTAAGCTTGTGTGTCTGATTTATTTCATTTAGTATCATGGTCTTAGGGTGTATCCATTTTCCTACAAATGAGCCAAATTTATTCTTCTTTATGGCTGAGGAGTGCATCATTG